TTTCTCCTCCCTTTGTTTATGTTGAGACATGCTGTTGCCGATGCCGCTGCTACACCAGTCTTCTTCTTCTGTCATTTTGATATAAGGGGTAACCTTTTCATTTCTATCGCTAAATCAAAGTAGATAAGGTGACGTTTACTTCTAATACTTATCAAATTGAAACAAAGTCAATTAGTCATTATGATGCACTTCAATATCCTGAAGATATCAACAATTGTTCTAACTTTGATATTCAATCTCCTGTGAACTAATTTTTAAATGTTACTGAGGAATCTTAAACTAGGACAAAACAAATGTTTAATAATCCGGATAGGTATATATCTGATAATGATTCGTAATGGATTAATAGATTATAATGTGAATGATAAATGAAACTGATTTTTTTTCTTAATCATCTATTATATTTATTCAATACATTATAAGAAGAATTATAGATGCTTAATTGTATACTATTTTAAATATGCATTCAACATGGTATGTATTGAATTATTATTGTTGTTTTTGTTCTAGATCATGAACCGATTAATGTTAGACCACTCTTAGAAACCTGGGATTCCTCAGTAGTGTACATCCACGATCCCGCTCGCAGGATTCGAATCCAGGAGATTCAGTCTAGCGCACAACGCCTAATCTACTTGACGACTGAGCCGGCACCCAATGGTGTTAGTGTCTAGTCTCAACCAATCCACGAAACCGCGTGACCATCTTCAATTGTACTGAGATAGATACCTGTTTCTACCCGACACGGATTAGCTCCAATGGTCACGGCTTCTCATTAAGACTCCTACAATGGGATGGAACGGCCGTCCAGTACTTCCAGGTTTTCAACGGTGGTCTAACATCAATCGGTTCATGATGTCAATCAAAAACGTAATAATCTCCACAACCCCTATACTGATATTATTATTGTTGTTAAATACGACTCAATTCGATTTAGATAAATGTAATTATCTTTGGTATTGCACTGTGCACCTCTTCTTTTAAGTTTAACTTGCCAAGTAGATTTAGTATGGAGTTAATTAAAGCAACAAGAGAATCGAATCACATTCATTTAACAAAATTTATCAATACCTTTACTAGTTGAATCCACGGGTCAATTAAAGCTAGATCACTATTGAAAATCTGGAAACACTGGACGATCTTTTCGTCCTGTTGCGGGTCTCCTCAACAGTGAGCATTCACGATCCCGAGGTTCTAACCCAGGATCTATCAGTCTCACACGGGAATGCTCAACCTCTAGACCACTGAGGCGGCCAATGTTCAATAGCGTTAATGTCTAATTCCAACTAATCCATGAAATTGAGCTATACATTCACCATTGTCATCAGTAAGTTACTATCTCACAACTGACTCGGTTGAACTCAATTGGTTACTGCTTCTCACTAGAACTCTAAGAAATACTTCTTAAAGCCAGTCACTAGCGAATATATGTTGATTAATATCAGAAGGGGTTTTTGTCGATATTATAATAATCTTAATAGTTGAACGCATGAATCAATTGAAGCTAGACTATCTTGGAAAACCTGGAAGAAATGGATGGCCGTTTCGTTCTAGTATGGAATTCCTCAGCAGTGAGCATCCACAGTTGGGCTCGTGGGATTCGAATCCAGAACGTTCGGTCTCTGGCACCTGTGCTTAACCTCTAGACCAGTGAGTCAGCCGGTATCCAACACTGTTATTGTCTAACTTCAACCAATCTATGAAATTGTGCCACCGTCCACCATTTAAAATAATACAATCTCCTTTGTAAATATTTTGAACTCATAGCTATATTGTTATTGAAATAATATTCATGTGTTTTTATCAGAATATGGATTTCTGGAGATTATAATATTTTCAAGATTGAATTCATAAGTCAATCTAATTTAGATTATCATCATCATTGAAAACCTGGAAGCACTGAATAACTATTTTGTCATAGTTTAGGACTTGTCATCAATGCATATCCATAAGTTTGCATCCAGGACTCGAACTCAGGAAGTTTGGTTTCATAAGTGAATACTTAATGTCTAAACTAATTGATTAGGCTTTAAACAGTTCGAATTAAGTTTCTGAAAAAATAATTCATTTCATCATTCAAAGGAATGCAGATTGATTAACCTTTCTTCTTTACACATTATTCAGTATAAACATTCATAATACTTACTATGTGTTTGGATAGATTTAAAGTAGAATCACTGAACTCAACCCCAGGTGGTATGTTTGACAGTAATAATGTATGGTAATTAATGAAGGTATGAGAATGAAGAAATAAATAAATAAAGTTACAAATTACATTTCTGTTTGGATTTCATAGAACACATCTACATAGTTACTAATAGATCATTAATTGATTCGTATAGTTACTAAATTATTGACAGAAAATTTATAGAGTTCAAATCTGATCAATGAAGCAAGAATAGTTGTTGTGTTCTATAATAACAAAGTTATGAAGTTACTTTCTCTGATCGTTCAGAATAATCTTAGCTCATTGAAGCAAGAACGATCCCTTACTCTACTATGGTACTGTTCCCTTTACTTTATTTTCATATATATTATTTAGCTTATAATGAATATTATTAAGATAAGGGTATTTGCTAAGATTGCGGAAGTTTCAATGCTTAGCTTGATTATATCAACTCATGATTTAAATTAAGAAACTTAGACAGTCTCCGAAAATACCTCTATGCCAATAGTGACCATGTGCTCACTAGTGATTATCTTTAAGATGCAACTCTTGGAGTTTTATTGAAAAATTGTAACCAGTGAAGTTTAATCAGTGCCATGTGTGAGATAGTCATCCATTAAATTGAGTAAATGAGGACTGAGCAATATAGTGAGCTGATTCAAGCTAAACACTAGCAATGTTGAATTTCTACTGAGTGGCCTAGAAACTGATTGTTCTTGAGCGAGACAGAAGATCCTGAGTTTGACTCTAGGATACAATGTTGCGGATGGGCACCAACAAAGAGCCTGGTGCTAGGTCAAAAAAACTGTCTCATGCTTTCAGATTTTAAATTGTGTCCTAGCTAAATTCACGACTATAAGCTACTATAATATTTATATTATCCCACTGTGTAGAAAATTGATTTTCTCACTTTTCCTACTTCTTTTTATGGAGACTAAAAACTCACTATTCGGGTGTTATCAGTACTCTCGGCTTTTCCTATGCTTCTGCAGTTTGTTGATACTTACCTACTAAACAGTAATTTATTCTATTTTTTGCCAGTGATCTATTGTTATCCAATCATTAATTACATAACCTTTTTTTGGTGTGTACAACAACGGAGCACACGTATTGATTATGTAATCTGATTTTATTTTCCAACAGGGTTATAAAAATTAGATAAGTATATATACGTCTGTGTTATTTCCAATGGCCCTCCAAATATCACGTGACAAAGGCACCAGTCAGAATACCGACTCCCATGACCTTGTATTTGTGATAAACCAGTGGTAAGGCAACTAGCACTAGCAGCCTCGAGTCAACTCTGAATCTTTATTGGATCATTGTATAGTAGATTCTTACCAGCCCTACGCTATATTAATTGTATATTCCAGATATACGTAGTTTATATATAAGCATGCCAAACCGCATCGCACTATGAAATAAAAAAACGATAGTTATACAAGATCAAGCCACAAGTGACTGCGAGTACAGGAGACTGTAATTAATATATTGGGAATAAATTAAGAATAGCAAATTGTATAATAGTAGCCAATGGATCAAATGAAAGCTTATGGTAAAAGAAATATAAATATACATAATCTACCAACGTATGTAAGAACGTATGTAATAATAATCCATAAACAATTCCTAGCAGTTACCATAGCAGTCAAATGCCCTGGTACGGCTGAGAGTGGGGAGAGTCAACTCTCCCTCTCGAAATGCTCTCAAGTGGCCACGTGCATACAACCCCTACCAGGGAAGTCCTACTTACTGCTTTCTCATGACTGGGGTGTTGTTTACGAAATTGAGAGGATGAAAAGCGAATATCTGGTGCTTTAACCGGGTTGGTGGATGCGGAGGGTCCAATTAGGGGAGTTAGAAAATCCTGATTCCAAACCAATGGTGTACACGGGCTCAAGGATCCTGAGGAAGCAAATGGCATATGAAACAATTGTTGGTCACCGGCTACCATAGTACTGCATCTCCTTACGTTGCTCCACTGTCTTGCGCATTAGATATTTAGGTCGAAGGCTCAGACTGTGACCCCCTCAGAAAACCATCCGCTTCGGTTTCAGCACCCGTGCAGTATCCCAGACCACAAACAAACAGAATGATTTATGTAGCACCTGTCTATTTGGTGCCTTCTTGTACCAATATTTATGTATTTAAATAAATAAACAAATAGCAGTTACCATTCATTTATTCTTCTTCTTCTTCCTTTTTTTAGAAGGTTCGAAGGTGTAGATGTCCATTTGATTCGCCCATAACCATAAACTTTAGATCCTGACTAAAACTAATATAGGCAACTTCAAAATTTCAACATTCTCCTACCCCACGAAACAATACTGTACCTTCATATCCCCGTATTAAAAATAATTTAGCTTTATTTAAAACATATTTCTCACATTGACTAGAGGATCCACTAGAAGTGATTGTATTGTGACATTAAACAAGATTTGAAGTTTCATTATTATTCGTTCAAATATAACAATCTGAAGAACTTAAATGGATACTTTCATTGAAAACAAAGTTTTCTTTTTCTGTTTTTTTTTTACTGTTCCTATGTACTACTTTTATTTCTGTCAATACTACTTATTAAATTAAATACAAATTCTGAATTACTTCAGATCAAGATTAACTAACTATTGTACATTTTATATTCTAATAAATTATTCGCATGAGGATTGTATATCGCAACGGAATGATTACCTTTTAAGTTTTAGTTACTACTCAGTACCCACACACACACACATACACACACAGATACACTCAAACACTAGTTTAACAATAAATATTCATGATAAATAGGCTACATTAAGTATGAGAGATACAAACGATAGTTGGCTCAATCATGAGTTTTTTATTCACAGATGTAGTTACTAATTTGTCATTCTATCGGGAAAATAGTGAAAGCTTTTGTAGATACCTGATAATTGATGATGATGATGATGATGCTTTGGATGATGATGATCATGCTTTGGATGATGATGATGATGATGATGATGATGATGATGATGATGATGATGCTTTGGATGATGATGATGATGCTTTGGATGATGATGATGATGATGATGATGATGATGATGCTTTGGATGATGATGATGATGATGATGATGCTTTGGATGATGATGATGATGATGATGATGATGATGCTTTGGATGATGATGATGATGATGATGCTTTGGATGATGATGATGATGATGATGATGATGATGCTTTGGATGATGATGATGATGATGATGATGATGATGATGATGATGATGATGATGAAGCGAAATGATACGTAGTGGAGGTGGCAGTTGTGCCAACTCGACCTGACCAAGCGTTAATCAATATTGATATTCACAAAAAAAGTAGGCTACAGACATGTGATGAATAGGATAAGAAGTGCACACACATATGCTTAAATAAAAACACTCAGGGTTGATAAGTTAATAATTAACAAGGTCAAAATATAACTAGAAAAGTATGGATAAATTCACCTGTTTAGAAGCTAGAATAAGCTATATGGGCTTAACATAGTCACTGACACTACAAGTTAATGAAGAGGATTCACTTTACAATCTAATTCATACACTCGAAACTCTACACTAATTCTCATTTAAAGTCTAATGTATCTTACAAATGTTCTATGAATGAAAATAACGTAGAGAAAAATATGAACTGCTATACAAATCAGAAATTCCTCTTATAGCTCTTCTACAGTTACTACCGATCCCAAGCTTGGGTAAAAGGAAGAGAGAGTTAATCATAGGATTGGCAACCTCATCCCGTCGAAAAAAAAGCTTTCCAAAAACAAACCACCGATCAGATACAGATCAGATGGATCTACACATATATATGATACTTGTAAGATAAATACTTTTTTAAAATCAATTTATTAGACTAAATTCATATACACCAAGTTAAAGTGATCAAAACTGTGTATCTGTGTGTGTGAGAGAGAGAGAGAGAGAGGGGAGGGAGGGGAGAGGGAGAGAGGGGGGAAATACAGAAAATAACTAAAATTAATATGAAGTTCATAAAAATAATTCAATCAATTTATGATTTCCAGACAACTGAATTCCCTGTAATTTTCAATCCTCAATGAAAAAAAATTTTTTTTTGGTTCTTTTTTCGTTTATACAAAAAAAAAAAAGAAAAACCATAAACAGAAAATCTAATGATGTTTCTTTTTGTTAGTTGAAGTTAAGAAAAAAAACCAAAAACCTAATTGATTATGCCAAATCAATTCACCAATAATTATTATTGTAATTTAATATACTATGTGTATTTTTGTTTAAAGTTAAAATATGTCAAGGTGTAGTGAAGAAGAACACAAATGGAGGAAAATCGATTCCACATTGGTCTCCCCCGTTCTTTAAAGAAACCGTTCTTACAGTGGTTTTACTTGCCATACTACATTGTTTTTCTTCTGCAGTCTTGTCGCGCTTCTCGACAAAAAGTGTTGAGTCTGAGAAGCACTGAATCTCATAGCTCCGACGACCTGCCGGGACATCTACATCCGACGCCCCACAGCTCCTCTCTATCGACAGCACCCGCTACAGCCAGTACCACCCAGCAAAATATCAATTAATTGTCTCGACCTCGACTGTTTCTTTTGCAAATACCAGTCCATCTTCTCAGATTTCATCGTTTCTACATTTTCATACGGAATTGCTTTCCGTTCCCGTTGTCTCCTTCTCAATCTCCTACTTAAATACATTTTATTGCTGACTATCATTATATACTACATATGTGGATATAAGTTGCTCATACCACAAAGGTAGTTTATTTTAATTAGTTTTTCATTAATAAAAAAACAATAATCTGTTATGTACAAACACATTGGATTATTTGAAATGAATGCACTTTCTAAATGATATTTCATCTATTGAATTGTGAAGTAATGTGTCGAATTGCGAGATTTGATTCATTAGGATTTTGTTGAGGAGACCAAAACTAGGACGAAATGGCCATTCAATGTTTCCAGGTTTTCATGGTGATCCAACTTCTAATCGATTCATGAATTCAATTATTAAAAATGACTACGATCTCCAAAAAAGAACCCTTTCTGATTTTGTAGATGTTTTGTTTTCTAGGCTGAAAAGGTTAAGAATCAAGTTCTCATTATCAAAGCAGATAACAAGTAAAATAATTTTGTGTTAACATATTTTTACAGAACAGCTTATCTACAATTGAAGAACATCTGGAACACAAAACAACTGTCTGTCAACCAACATCAAAGTCAAAGTTTCCAATACAAATATCAAGAAAGTTCTACTGTATGGGGCGAGAACTTGGAGAACTACGAAAACCACCATCCATAAGATGCAAGTGTTTGTTAACAGTTGTCTATGTGAAATACTTCCGATCCGTTGGTTATCAACAACTATTAGCAACAACCTACTGTGTGAGAGTACAAACCAGATTCCAGTGGAGGATGCAATCAAGAAAAAACGATAGAATTGTATAGGGCACATATTGAGGAATGCACTCATGTGAATCACAAGGCAAACCCTCACTTGGAATCTTCAAAGTCAAAGGAGGAGAGGAAGACCACGGAAAACATAAATCATCGAAATGGAGACAGACAGACAGATATGAGGAGAGTGACAAACAATTGTATAGAACTAGAAAGGAAGGTCCAGGATATAATGGGTTGGAGAATGCTGGTCGGCGACCTATACTCCACTGCGAGTGACATGCATCAGTAAGTTAGTCAGTAAGTAAGTAATATTTTTACAGAAAGATGACCAGAAAATATTTTAAGTCATCACAATACTTGACAATCTGGAATAAGATTATTCTGTTATGCCAAAAGATTTAGTAACATTTCTAAACCTAAAGTAAATTTCCGGAAACACTCCTTGTTAAGTTATCGATTGCTACAAATACATTTTATTTTGATGGAAATTGACCAAAGTTATTGATGTACACCGTTCAACGGTTGTTTAGTGACTTGAAAACTAAGCGCTCACTTCAAGATCTGGATATTTATGAATCAATTACTGTTAGGATCATCGGTATGTATCGTTAAGGATTCAACTGTTATTCTGGAAAATCTATTCAATGCTTCATAATTTTCATTAGTTATTTGATTTAAGATATTTCATGATTTCAAATCTATCCAACAAAATTTGTGAATCAACTATTGAGCCAACTATTAATCATTGTATTCTATTATAAATGCTCTTTATTATGTAATGGGATACTAAAATGTTCTTGTTAAGTTATAAATCTGTTATGTTTGTCATGAAAAATGATTGATTAAACTGTTTTCGTATACAACCATGCCTAATACTGTTAATAGTTTAAGAGGAATACAAAAAAAAAGAAAAAAAAAGAACGATGCCCAGATACTAACATACACCTTGCAAAACTTGATGTGTTTGTTTTTTTACTATTCGATCCTATTAAGTATACAATGTCATAGAGTCATAAAACAAAATGAAATCAATTATTTATCACTTTGTTATTTTCAATGTTCTTCCCAAAATAAAGGAGAATGATTTCAGCTTTCCTATAACAGTTCTATATGGTAAACATTTAATCAATTAGTAAACAAAATGATTGACGATATGAATTGATAATTAATGTGTAGCCCTTCCACAACCACCACCACCACCAAAATGAAATTTTATTTCGATGGTATTTCTGTTGTTGTTGTTGTTGGTGGTGGTGGTGGTGGTGTTATTGTTGTTGTTGACTTAGCTCATTTAGAAAAAGAAAAGAAAAGGGGGGGAAATACTCACAACATTTAATGTACAACATTAAAAATACACTAAATCAAATAATTCTACCCAATTTATTTAATGTTAGATTTTATAGAAGAAAGTTTGTGGGTGGACTATGCTCCTCCAAGAAGGGTAACAGGCGTAAGTAAGTAAGTTGGTAGAAGAGAGTAAATATTTTTATCCGAATGATTCATAGATTATTATAATTATCCTAATGTAAGTGTGATTTTTTTCTGTTTAGATAAGAAACGCTGATTCAACTTTAATACCTCTTTTGTGTTAAAATAATTATCAGTATTGAGTTGTGGAGATTATTGTATTTTTGATTCATATCATCAATCTATTGATGTTAGATCACTATTGAAAATCTAGAAGCACTGGATGGTCGTTTCTTCCTACTACGGGACTCATCAGCAGTTCTCAACCATGATCCCACTTGCGGGATTCGAGCCCGGGACCTTCAGTCACGCGCCCGAACGCAACCATAACCTAATACTGATAATTACCACATGCTCACTAGTGACTAGCTTTATGAGGGAATTCTCGGAGTTCTAGTGAGAAGCCGGGACCAGTGGAGCTAATCCATGTTAGGTAGAGTTAGGTATCTACCTCAGATGGTCGCGCAATATCGTGGACTCGTTGAGATTGAAAATTAACACCATTAGATGCCAGCCGGCTCAGTGATCTAGAGATGAAGCGTTCGCGTGTGAGACTTCAGGTCCTGAGTTCGAATCCAACGATTGGGGTCGTGGATGCGCGCCACTATGGAGCTCCATAATAGGACGTAACGGCCGTCCAGTGCTTCCATTTTTCCAGTAGTGGTCTAACATCAGTCGATTCATGATCTTAATCAAAAACATAAGAGTTGAAACTTATTTCGTCTAAATAACAAGATTCTTGTACAGTGAACAAACACACAAGTGGGGAAAATCGAATGTAATTGAACACACAACTACAGAATATCTGATAACCATACAGTAAATACTTCATCTGTAAAATATCAATCAATCGTCATTCAGTCAGTCAGTAACAACGTAGAACTTCGTACGTACGTACATGAGTTCGAGTTGCCATAACACATCAACACAGAGATTCAGTTGTCGATTCAAATCCCGTAGTGGTAGAGGCGGTAAGAGTATAAGCAATAATCGGAAACATTAGGGTTTGAAGATGTTATTTAAAGAGTATAATCCAGTGAAATAAATTTGGAAAGAGAAAAAAGAGACAAGGATGAATTAGGATATTAAAATTTGGGAGAACACAAAGAGTGTATGCACCTGCGCCATTGCAAACGATTTTGAGCCTTGTCATTCAGGGTCTCTAACCATCAGTTGCTATCATCTCGCGGTCCTCAACCAGGTAGTCTACACCTACCAACATGACTCAGTCCACTTGTCAGTGACTTCATGAACTCGTGCCATTGTTTTGGTATCAATCAATCGTATCAGAATTCATTGTCCTATCATTTCCACACCAATCATTCTCTGTTCTCATTTCTTTGATCTTTTTAACCTTCTTCTGCCATCAGTTATTTCACTTTCATTTGATGATACATACTACTTAT